TTGGCATCCCACCATTGGTTTGCTGGAACTGCATAAATGCAGCCCAGATACCTTCTGTTAGTTCATCTCCACAATATATATATATATATATTATACACAATAACCTAATGTGACGTGGGCATGCTTCTTATGAAAGATGATCAGTTGATTTGGGGAAGACACAAAGGATCAGTTTAGGAGTTGCTGTTTGACCTTTGTTTGCACATGGTCGCCCTGTGCTGTGTACCATGTCAACTTGATGTTCGCCCACCTAGCCTTGCACCGAATGGATGAGAATGGATGAGAATGGAGTCGAACATCGGTTTCAGCGTTCCTTTCAGCTCTGAAAAACGTTTAGCACAGCCAAATACAGCCATGAGTATTAGATGATACTATATAAGCATGAACATATATCATATATATATATAATTATCATACATCTATTATTACTAATATACAATATATATATATATAATATGATGAACTGTAGATCATATATTATTAATGATCATATGTATCATACGAGAGTGACTAGACTACTCCCTTGCCTCCAGCCAAGCTGCCCACCGAGTGTTTGGCGGCCAAAACGGGATCCGCTTTGAGGTGAGCTCCTGGGCACAGAGAACCTCAAGGTACGGATCCAGGCGCTGACGGAGAGAAGGGAGGATGGGTGGTGCTTCTGGAAAGCTGGCCCTCGCCTTTGGCTTTTAAGATCTTTTTGGTGCTGAAGAGCCCAGCGCGTCAGGCACTTAGAAGCTTGAAGAATCAATTCCCCAAAACAGTTCACCGTCACAGGAGGTGAATATCGAGTTCCATGTTCTTTGTCCAGAGCGGGCAACATGGACATTGGCACTATTAACCTGCGAGAGAATCGCTTTCTAAGACCCGACACTACAGCTGTTGGGTGCCATGGCTAGCCAGTTGGCCCGCCAAAGGTGTCCGAAAAGCACTGATCTTGGTAGTTTTGTCCAATAACAAACGACTCTGATCCTACAAGCAGCGAACCTGACATGGTGGATCACGTTGAATCCTTCAAATCCACTCTGTCTTGACATTCCCAAAGCACCGAAGCGGTGAGATCCCACTACTACGGCCAGATGGTAAGGGCCCCCCTCTGGGCGTGGATGTGTTTGCTTCTTGGGTCTTTGCATCCATGGGTCAGGTGGGTTCTTGCCAGAGAACCATCTCTCGAGTCCTGATCCGGGCGGACCCGGCACAACCTCGCACGAGGGCACGGAGGACCATCCGGGCACCCTGCGTTTTTTTTCAGTTAATACACACACGATCACACACGCATGGAAAAGAACTGTGAGTATGGACATGCCAATCCTGGTGGTTCTTGTCCACCTGCAGCCTAGGATACCAGCTCACAAGGCGGTTTGGTCAATGGATCCTTTGTTTTCACAGCACCGTTCCAGTAAGAATAGCTTGACTTAGTAAACGACTAGTCAAGAGACGGTCTGGTCTTCATTTCGATGATTTGTTGAGAACTTGGCTATACCAGGGTTACCAACCGAAGCAAATCATGGGTGTTTTTTCGGGTGGTCCATGGGTGACTCTTTGGAAGGTGCTGGGGAGGAAGCCCTTTTGGACTGCACCAGACCACCGCCCTGGCGCAGGCAGTGGTGGCATTGCAGCAAGTGACGGTGGTGAGCGACCAGAAGGAGGTGGGACAGAAAGGCCAACAAGATCAAAAGATCATCCAAAAGACCAACAAGATCATCCAGTTCTCTCTTTGAGCGAAACTGTTTGAAACTGATAGCTAGTTTCTTTTAAGAAAAGAGGAGGTCGCCAGCTGGACGTTAGAGTAGATCAAAAACTAGTTACCCTCCCTCGGGAGGCGAACGGTAGGTATCCACAAACGAAGAAGCTGTTCTGTTTCAAGTTGCAAGTGGCGATTAACTGTTGCTTTCCATAGGAATGTGAGGATGTACCAAGTACCAATACTTTTAAGGCAAGACCCGATCCTCAGGAACAAACATTAAGAAAGCAACTAAAACTGGTGAATTTCCAGAAACAGAAACGTACAGAGCGCAGAAGAGCTTTTTAGAGGGAATTCATCCCCATTCATCCCCACCTACTCTGGTTTGATATTCAAGAAGATCCGAATCTAGACACCGTACACGTATGGAGGAGCAGATGTGTTTGTTTGAAACCAGTTTAAGCCAGGTCCAGTAAGTTGCCTTTTGCGTCTTTAGTGGCACTCACTTGTTATCACATATAAAGGCAGAATCATCAAGGGTACGGAAGCTGGGCCTTCGATCATTGACAATTTTCCTCCGAACATGCTCCTAGGCTAGGTGACCAGTAGCGTAATTAGAATAGTATATATATATATATCATTATAATTATATAGCATATATCCAGTGTAGTAGCTCAATGGATCATCACTTTTTGGACTTCACACGCGAGAAGGTGGGCTAGTGCCAGCCAGAATAGCTCAAAACATTACCCCCCATGTCGGTGGTTAAGGACCTCCATCTTTCAAGACATCTTGGGGTGCCGCCATTTCTCACCGATGGCCCACTGTAGTCTTCCGGCGCTGCAGTCTTCGGGTCTCTTGGTCCCCCCCCGCGCAGCACCAGGTGATTAAGGTTGCGGCTGAGAAGGCCTTGAGCCACTTGGACTCACGTCAACGAGGCGATTGCTTGTAAGTGAGGGCGAGATTGAGATGATTGCCCAACACATCCTCCTGTTGAAGGAAGTTCAACGAAATCCTTTAAACCTAAACAAACATTTCATCTTGAAATTCTGGCAGATCACACATCTGCAGCATTCATGCAATGTTCGAAGTCCTTATGGCCACTTCGGGCACCCAGGCCGCATTAGCTGCACTCCTCCACCAGGACAGGGCGATGTTTCTGCGGGTGGCCTGGGACCTGTAGCTCGCTGGGCCATGAGGTCCGAGTCCGTTAGAGGTTCGTGATGAGAATGCACCCCAGGAGCCAAGGTGGCATGATCCACTGGTGACCAGCCAGAAAAACGAAGGCTCGAGGCCTTTTGTGATCGATCGGCAGATTGGCAGAAAAGAAGGCGACCTCAGAAGATTGGATGGATCGGAAGGAGGACCAGCATCAAGTATGCCCTTCCGACCCAGATGGGACTTGACAGGACTCCCATGACCTTCTTGGAGGGTTTCTAGAATGTGATGGTGATGCATTGGCCGATGCTCAAGATCGTGCTCATATGACCTTCTGGACTACCCACGTGAAGGTCACATGAGGGCTTCTGGAATACTCAACTCATTGGTGGTGGGTGGTGCTACGCTGGCAAGGCTACCGTCGCCTCGTCAGGACTGGAGGAGCCCAAGGAGCGGCAAAGCTACCTGGAGCAACTGACCCTCGGAGCGAATTTGAGACATGGAACACGTGGAACTCAAGACCTTTTGGCTTGACAGTCTTTGATTTGGGTGGTGATACACCACAGAAGTGGCCGACTTGCTTTCTTCCGGCTCGGAATTGTCTTCTCAAAGATCACGGGGTGGACCGGGGTTCGATCTACCCTGAGAGCGGCTCCAAAGGTCCCGAGGGCGCGACACCAAACAAACACAGTGATCTCTCTTTTAAAGTCCAGGAGTCTGCTGCAGCACCGGCAAGCAGTTTCTTTACCCTAGAGCTTCGGAAGTCTCCGGACACCTGAGAAGGCTAGAGCATGCTAGATCCCCCAGTGATCTCCGATATCGGGGTTTTGGAGGGTTCGGAATATCATCGGTGCTTGATGCAATCTACTCACAGAAAGACAGATCCAAGGATGCCATGAGTAATGAGTGTGTCACAGATCGATGTTCCTTCTTTGATGCAGGGGATTTTTCCGTGGCCATGCACCTCATGTATCCTATGATTGAAGATGGAAGTTCCCCGGCCCAACCATCCAAAGTTCCCCAAGACTTCGCAGAGATTGGTACCCTCAGTTCACCGAAGTCTGGGGTCCCAGACTCGAACACCAAGGCTTCGAAGGTATACGGTGATTTCGGAGGTGTCATTGCAGATCTTCCCAGCCTCAAGGTGTGATTTCTCCAATCTATAAACACATCTTGAGATGTCTGGAGGGTCAGGTAGTTTGGGGAAGCCACGAAGAACCAAGAAATCGACCAGAAGATGAGCCCTCAAAAGGCGGGCACTCCCGGCAGCTCAGATGGAGAGATCGGCGTTGTATGTAACGTATATACCCTCCCTATCCCTCCCTTCAACAAACATGGAAGTGGAATATGGCCTCTTGGAAGAATGTTTTCCTCCACAAACCGGTGAGTTTCCACTTCCATGACTGTTTCAGGGAGGGCAATTGTAATTTTCCTAATCCAAACGTTGATCAAATTGCTTGTACCTGGAAACGACCTTTATTGCAGGTCTTTATACGTTTCGCTCACAACAAGTACGTACGACATCTCTCTTCCACACAGTCCCCCCACGCACGTACCTACATCCTACATCGAGGATCGATGAACATCCTCCCCCCGTCGTCTCGGAAAACCCGAGGAAAGCAGAGCTCCTTCGGCTCTTGGAGTCGACGGCTTCGCCCAACGCGCGGACGCGCGCGGACGAGCGGACGACCGACGGGGGCGACGAAAAGATGCGCGGGCCGGCGACCGACGGGTGGTGCGGAGAGCCTGGGAAGGTCTGTCCGGAGCCGAGCAGGTGGGCAGAGCTGTAGCTTTCGGCATTGTCTCCCCATAGTCCATAGATGTCCCATATATAGTGCCAAGAGTTCCAGACCTTTAAGCCTTGGGACCTTTCCGCTGAATTCGAAGCCTTTGGGCACATCAGGCCATCAGGCCATCCGGTGAACTCACGCCGTCTCCGCGCCGGACGAAGAAGCGAAGCGTCTCCCACGGACCGGCGAACGGCCCGAGCCCGAAATTCAGGTCGCACGAGCAAAACCAGCCACATACCTGGAGTTCCAAGAGGATGGGTTGATTTCCCAAATTGAAGTACTATAGGAGATAGAATGGAATGGGTACTCCCATCTCTCCACGAAGCCAATTATCAGGGCTAGCCAAAACATATAGTGCTTTTTCGGCCAAGGTGAGATGTGGTGCAACGTGTTGTCCGACACGGATATCCCAGTTGTTGTGATCAAAGGAGCCTTGGAAGATGTGGAGTCCACTGGATCCATGGGGGATCCATCGTGGGAGGGTTGGAAGCACCAGCCACCTGCGTATACGCCGCGTTAGCAACCGTTTCTCCTTCGGCCCGGGATGGCGTGGTAGATGGTGGATGGCGTGGTGGATCGGGAAGAAGAGATTTGCAGAACACTTCTTCGAATATTTCCCAACACAGAACTGGTTTGTCCGTTTGCCCATGACTTGCTGCAGTTGTCGTGAAGTACATGTTTTTTCCAACTGCCAAGCACTCTTACTGGTTGGCTGGTTTGCCACCGTGCCACGGGTACTGAAAGGCCCAGCGGCCAGTGCCTTGAATGAATGGACCAAATGAAGAGATCTTCCCTTTGACCATCATTTGGAAGCCCCCAGTAGCAGAAAATGATCTCCAAGGGCCTGTGTAGCACTTCCATGATTGTTTGAGAATGTCTGAGACAGGGTACCCAGACGAAACGAATTGTGGACGCTAAATCGCTCAAACTTTTGGGATGCATCGGATGCGATCAGTTTCATAAAGATTTCATCCAACCATCCATGAAGTGCGATTTCATTGTCCAATCCCCACGGTTCTAGAGACTGACGTTGCTATGGTCACCCCAAGATAGGTACCATATAGAAAAAGTGAATCCCTGTTAAAACTGTGTAAATGTTTAGACACGCGTAAAACCAGTTACTTTTTGAGACAAACCATACGGGGTTTGGCTTGGTAAGCTTAGCAAACGATGTCAGGCCGCGATGTCAGGCCGCGATCCGCGGGGTATCACCCTCTTCCATGGGCGTTTCGGACCCGGAGCTGTTCACCGCTCCGCGAACACCGCGAGCTCCGGGAGCGGTTTCACCGGAACCCGGGAGGGAACCGCGGTTTGGGAGACGCTCCGGGTCCAAGCGCGAAGAGGACCCGTGCTTCCGGTGCTCGGATCACCTCGGTCGCCGAGGTGAAGAGGAAGTGGAGCTGGGCACCCCCTTTCCCGTGATGGACCGACCGCCGCATGAGGGAGAGTTTACCGTGGAGGAGGATCGCATGGTGACGCTTGGGTGAAAGGAAGAAACGTGGGGTGAAAAGGAGAGGTCGTTTTCGGGGGCAAAAGGAATTGGTCAATGGGGAGGTGAAAAAGGGAAGAGAGAATTGGTGAATCGGGTGATATATGCAGATATTCAATCCCAGACACTCCATGGGATTGTAATATGTGTCAAACCGCCAAGTTGCGTAGATTGCGAACGTCGTGCGAAAGCGGAAAGACGAGATCAAACAAGGAGGATCAAAACATGGCTTAGGCGGTCCGTGCCACCCTTTTAACACTCCGTCTAAGTCTGAGCTCAAGAGGCGCCCCTGCGGACGAGAACATGAGTACCCCGCACCTGTGGTTCCGTAGACCACTGAGATGTGCTAAGGTTGGTAAAATCGGGCTTCACACAATTCATGAAACACCAATGAAACTCCTCTCAACTTAGCACAGGTTCAGTGCTTTTAGAGTTGAAGAGAAGATATCTGCGATCGCTTATCTTAGATAAGCTGTGGCAAAAAGGTTGGTCCAGGCATCATCCATCCAAACTTCTGGCATATCTGCAAAATGCAGGCCTTGTTTCTGCTCTTCTTTCTTCTTTTGTGTTCGCAGTCGTTGCATCTTACGAGCAGAAATGAACTCTTCGTTGAACTTCACTATCCAGCTTTTGTTGGTATGAAACAGTTTCATCTCTCTATATGCATCCATGGAAGCTTTTGTGAGAGAATTAGCTAGGTTGAGGTCTGAAGGCACCCACGTAGCAAAACAGTTTGTACCATCTTGTATTCCTTTCTGGACATGAAGTAGGTCTATTGCAGCCTTAGAGTCTGACATTGACATGGCAAGAGATTCATTGCTCACCAGTAGGTCATAGCACCCGCGAGAGTCCATAATCAACAGACTCGTGAACATGGAAGTCAGAGTGTCTGCTTTCCCAAGTCGAAGGGTGTGTCCGTACAGGATTGCAAACATAAGTCTGGTTCTCCAGCCTTTGTCTTCAGCTTCTGCAATTCCTTGAGCTTCTGAGCAGTTCGTCCCTCTGGCAGGACGTCGGAGTTTCCAGGATCTCCAATCAATCAAGGTTACAGGCGTTTCATTGCCCTTCAAGATTTCCGGTGAAGAAATTCCAGAAACAAACCCGCCGGTCGAACCACCTGTCGGTCTGTTGTTGTGTCCAGCATCACCCCAATGCAAGAAAACAAGATCTGTGTATTTCAATCTATTCGTTCTTCCAAAATTGAAATTGTGAAAAACCAGATCTTCCTTTGCAGTCTTACGCATATCCCGAATGATAGAGTTTGCTTCTCTCAAGTTTGCCAGTTTTCCATCCGACAACGTGGAAGAAGCTATGCCAATTCGAGCAGCGTATTGAGGAGCACTCTGCAAAGATCTCCACTGCGCTTTCATCAAAAGCGCTCGAGCTTGCGAAGTTTCCGATGGAGTCATCGGATCTTTGTCACTGCGAGAGCCGTCTGATTGAATTGCCACAGGAGACAAAGAGTTGCAAAAATCTTCTTGCGAGACATGGATGGAGTAGGAAGTGAGTTGGCGAATTCGGCATCCGGCATACACAAAATCACCCTTTTTCCAAGGACTCCATTGATACATACCCTTTATCTCTCTCAAAGCAATCCAAAACTTATTCTTGGGATTTCCTGCCATTAGAAAGTCATCTACTTGACTACCAATTCTGGCAAAAACCGACCCTTCGAGATCACGAAAAACCCAAATGCATCGATCCATGGGATGAGGAATCCCACCGAGCTTTTGGAAATTCAAATCTACATCTTGCCAAAAGATGCGAGGAGCATTGGTAAGGCCATAAATGGCACCCAAGACACGCATCAATTGCCCTGGTTTCAGTCCAAGAGACACTGCAATCTCTGGAACTGCTTTCGTCCACAAGCGCCTATCTTCTTCACAATTAGCAGCTTGCAAAAATGCAGATTTAGCATCGGCAGATTCAATCTCATGTTCATCGAAAGCAAAACACTGAAGGAGAAGGTTTCTCCCTGTGCGTGAAATGGTCGGTGCTGCTGTCTTAAGTTCTGGCTGACCTGTGATTGGATTTCTCTTCACAAGGTCTGGATGTTTAAACCCTAGAAGTACTACCCGAGCTTTAGCTTTACAACTACCGTCTGGCATCACTGAAGTTGGTTTACCTGGAGGCGGAGGTTCAGGAGGTTGAATCGGTTTCCAAGTAAGGACCCACCTCATGGGAATATGGCGTTCAGGATGGCTCAAAGCTTCTTTCAGTTCTTCTTTAGATTGTACTGCGCGAAGTGCCATTGAACCCAAAACTTCAGCGACCTCTCTGGCTTTTGCTTCATCAAACAAAGGAACATGCTCCTGAGACAGTTGCTTGTAGGTAATCTCTACGTTTTTGTTCCCTTCCAAGACTCGCTTCACGTACAAAAACGGATTAGCATCAGCAATCTCTTCCGAAACGTCGAACTCAATCTGGAAGACCCATTGACGGTCCTTCTCGGGTCTCTGGAAGTCGTCCTGGATGAAGGACAGGAAGTGAGCTTCATCTTCGCGTTCCTGAGTGATCATTTCATGAAGCTGCACTGTCTCTTGTTTCATCTTGACTTCCTCTTCCAGCAAGTGGATTCTCTCCAAAACCAGTTTCTGCGTCTCTTGATCCAACAGATGAATGTTCCTCACTGTGTTTTCTGCTGTTTGAACTCCGGGTGAACATTCAACATGTTGTGGATCAGAATCTTCAAAAGTATACATCATTGGACTTTGTTCCAACACTTGGGCTGGAAGCTGCATCAATGGAGGAAGTCCTTCCTGCCTCCGGTTCTGGTTAATCGATACCAATTGTTCCCACCTGGCACGCAGAGCTGACACGGTGTCCAGTCGAGCTTTCTTCCGCTCAGTCTCCTCTGATTGGTATTCAGGATGATCTGGAGAAAAAGGCTCTTGTGAAACATCTGTGAAATTCTTCAGTCGTGAAAGAAGTTCAGTACGAGGTTTCGACAAAATCTCACCTGATCTCAGAATCTCAACCACTGTCTCTTGTTCAGTTGCTGGTCTTAGCTGTTCACGTGCACACCTATACAGTTTTGTTCCACAAAGAACCCAAATGATAGCCTTCCGCTTGTCTTCCAAAATTGTAGGCTCTATCAATGCTATTCGTCCTGGTCCAAAAAATCTTGCTTCTGGATTGTAGTTTTCATCCCGTTTTCGTGCTTTCAATGTCATAGTGCGCCAAATCATGACAAAGTCTCCAACCTGATAATCTATCAAAGGTCGAGGAGCAGAATTCCATAGTCGAGACACAGCTTGACGTGCAGATTCTTCACGGAAAAGTTCACCTGCTCGAGCACGCATGGATTGAAATTCTTTGAAATGTCTAGGACCAAAAAGCTTCTCTCCATTCGCTTGCAACGGGTCATTCTTTCTCTCTAACTCATCGGGGTCATAACCATAGGCCCATTGCACCGGAGAAAAACCAGTAGAACGAACAGTGTGGTTTGCTGCATGTGAAGCTAGTGTGCCAACAATTGAAGGAGCTAGTAGAGGATGTTCTTGTCGTATTCGTTTCATAGTACGCTTGATGGTTCGTACCATAGCTTCCGTCTTCCCATGAATCCAATGTCCTTCCCCTGGAGAAGCTAACATACCGATTCCAGCTGTGTGCATGAATGTAGGGAAATAACCGTTGATGAGGCTTGACTGTGAGTCTACTACCACCCATTCTGGTCGAGGACGATGATGTAGCCAAACATCACAAAACGTGGAAATCAGTTTCTCACCAGAGTCCGTTCCAGTCTGTGAAAATTTTCCAATCCAAAGTGGTGCAACTGCTGTAAAATGCATTGCAAGACATGTCATCAACAGAAAACGTCCCTTAACCCTCTGTGATGGAAAATGTAGTTCGAAGACATCCATGCCCACCATCTGCCAAGGTCTCGGATGTTCTCCAATGGAACGGTGAAGAACTAGTTGATTTCCAGGGAGTACCTCAGAACATTGAGTGCATTGCAGTTTCTTCGCTTCATCCACTAGCCATCCAGGTAGTTTTCGATCTCGAATCAGTCGGGCTAGACTTTGGTTTGAAGGATGACCTGCGGATTTGTGAAGTCGGTGCAAAAGAACTTTACCTTTTTCACGTTCTTCATGAGATACTTCAGGAAATATGCTGCTACCACCTTGACTGTTTGAAACTGTTGGGTCCTGTTCCAGAGTTTCGTCTTCTGCTGCTTGATCTGTCTCCATTTCCCCATCTTGCGTTTCAGTGTGTGTACGTTTGCGTTCGACCGGATATGCATCTTCCAGATTCTGAAAAGCTTGAAGTGCACGGTCAGGGTGCAGATGAGGATCTTGAGCCTGGTCCATCGTGTGGAGTGATTGTAAAATCTTGGGCTCTGATGCTGAGAATTGCTCGTGCTTCCAAACCTGAACAATTCTCTTCGCAAACTTCACAGGGTAAAAGGCTGTTTTTGCAACTGCATGTGTTCCCAAACCTAAAATACATTTGTGTGTATGTTGTCCGTCACATGTAATCCCAGCATGTATATGGAAGTGTTGGTCGCTTGTCAGGATCTGCCACGGCTTGTGTAGGTGATTGCCCTCTTCATCCAACAAACCAACCATACAACCATGGACCACTGTTCTGTAAAGAGGTTTGGAAAAAGTTGCATTGTACCATTGTTCAAATTGTTCCAATTCATGAAGTCGCCAGCCTTCTGTTGCGTTCTTTGGCCACTCGAAGTAGAAGTCCGTTCCAGAGTCCTGGAGCAGTGCTTGGCGAAAAATCTCCAAGATGTGTCGAAGTTGTTTTCTTGATCTCAAACGCATTCTCCGCAAATTGTTCACTTGTTGCGGTGTCCGTTGGTTGATGTGTTGTATCGATGTCCCAGGAGTGCAACGCAAAGATGCCCAAATTTTTGTCGGACAATCCCTCTTCAGTGCATTGATCGCTTCAGCAACACACTCTGGCTTCTCAAGGTCAAAACCCTCTTCGATTGTCCATCTTTGAGCTTTCAATCCATTGCGAATCACTTCATTGGATAAGGTCGAATTTGGCGAACAACACATCTCCCACAAACTAAACCGTTGCTCTTGAAGCGATCTCAACTGCTGTTCAATGCTAAAAACTGAAGACTTCAAACTAGCTGTCAAATCCCTCAGGACTGCATCCGGTGTGAGCTCGTTGTGCTGCACGTCTTCTTTGCTCTTAGTGGGGTGATTGCCAAAGGGATGGAGAAATGAATCTTCCTTCAAGCTCTCTACGGTGATTCTGTCTTCTTCTCGACCTTCTTCTTCATGGGAGTTGGCTGTTCCCACGAATCGTCGTCGCTGGCCAAGTTGTGAATCTCCGGCCCCGGAGTCGGATTGGAGGCGCTGGCTGCTGGATATCCCTTCTCTTTCTCCCTTTTGTCCAAGTCGCCGTGAGTCTTCCCGGGCTTCTTGGCCTTGATGAGCTCTTGGCCCTCGATATAACGAATCGTCTTCTTCACAAGACGTGAGTCGACATCGTTCTCCTTGAATCCCTCCATACGAAGGTGCTCCATGGCCCGGACGACATTGGAAGGCAGGTCCATGTGAGTGCTCTGACCTGATGCTCCCTTCATTGGAGTGTACTGCATCCGAAGGGCACACTTTTGACATTCCAGCCAAGCTCCGTGAGGGTTGGAGTACTGCTTGGGGTCGTGATTTCCTTTGCATGGCCAAAAGTCCTTGCTCGCACGAGGATCTTGGGTATGGACTCCCATGGTCCGAGTTGGATCCAGCTCTCCCTTCGGCCCCTTTTTGGCTTTTTCGCCTTCGGCGTCACTTTCGCCGAAGCTGAGGCCAAAGCGCGCTCCACTGCCGCCTGAATCTTGTTCTCCAACTCTTCGGTGTTTGCCATATTGGATCACAGATTCGGCAGGCTGACTCAAATCGAAGGTCACTTGCTTTGAGCTTGAAGATGCGCTAGATTGCAAAAATTGCCACTGCTCTGGTGAAACACACAAATGCTCAAACATGGAGTTTGCGAAAATGCCATCCGACTGTTGTGATTCTTGTACCACAAAACATGGCTGTTCTTCAAAATTGGGCTCGAACGAAAAATCTAAAAGGGTCATCAACTGCTGTGACTGCTGTGCCACACGTGCTGATGAACGAGTTCGGTCTGTCCTTAATTCGGCTTTCGGAGATCTGGCTGCAGAATGTTGTTGTCGTTGCACGGGAAGGTCCTTCAAGAAGCTGAAAAGAATCTGTCTCTTGGGAGTCAGTCTGAGGTGTCTCATCTCGCCCAAAACAACTGCATGACCATTGGAGAGGTTCACTATCATACACAGTTGTTGCATTTCTCTCATACCCAACAGAACAGGAACACCCGGTGAAGGAAGTGCGTACAGTTGTAGGGTTATGGAACCAAAATGGAGCTTCACCTTGTAACTAGCCTGACCCCATGATCCCGAACCATAGCGGAAATATGGCCGATCTTCTGTGACGACTGTCAAGCTAAGGTCTGGCCGCGATTGGGCCAAACTGTGGAGAAGGTTCTTCACAGCTGTCTCGCCACCGGCTGACACCGTTGCACCTGAATCGATGATAGCCTCTTCAGGTCGGATGGCAGCACGCGAATCCGCTTGGCTCACTGGGAAAAAGGAAAGGTCTGGTGAGAATTCTGCCTCGGGGATCATGTCTGTCATAGTCATCATGTGGTGCTCTTGAGGCTCCATGAACATCCCAGCATGAGAGGAAGGTCTCTGAGACATCTGATTCCTATTCTGAAAGTTTGAACGCCCTGCAAAACGATTCTGTTGCGGTGGACGCCAACCAGAGGAACCGAAAGGACGGTTGTGGTAGCCGCCCTTGCCATGAAACCCATGCCCCTTCTGCTGAAAGAAATTGGTCTGTGACCGATGTCCCTTGCCCTGCGTGAACGTGCTGGTGCCCTTCTGGGAACCGTGTGGTGGAGAACCCTTTGAACCTGAGCTCTTCCAGCCACGATCCTTCTTTGCTTCTTGGACTGCACGTCTAGCTTGCTCCAAGTTGCGCTGAGCATCAACCATCATGGCATTCAGCTCTTTCTCTTCTTCTTGAAGCTGTGAAATCACATGCAAAGCTTGGTCCTCGGTCATGGATTCTGGATTCACCTCAGACTCTTCAGCTTGAGGATCAACTGCGGTCTCCTGAAACTCTTCACCATAGTAACCATCCTCAAGGTATTCACCCTCAGGATAGTCATGACTACTGCCCCAATAGTCTTGGTACTGCATGTCCTCACCCTCAAACTCTTCCACTATATTTGCCATATGTCCTTTGCCCCGTCCAAAACCCTTGGGAGGATTGTTGATCCCTCGCATACCACGGTCTTCGTGGAGTGACAACAAGGCTGATCGAATGTTCTGGTATCCGAGCTTGTTTTGCGTTGCTGCTTTGACCAGACTCTTGTCCAGTTCAGTGGCGCTCGCACACTCCAACAAAAGCCAGCCTCGAATAATGTCTAAGGCCGCGAGCGGGATCAAGCCTTTCTGCATCAACCTCTCAATCAAGTCAAGGCGCTTGGAAGGTTTCTGAGGACTTGAACCGATTGGCATAGTGTGGTGAGATTCGGACTGCGATCGGGACAGTGGCGGCTGTGGCAGGTCTTCATCTTCTGCTTCTGCATTTGGTTCACGGTTTCCAGCGAAACGAGATGGATGAGTGCTCCCACTCCCGCTCCCGGAACCCTGAGAAAAGGGCCCGTGAGTTGACTCACGCTCAAACTCCCCTGGGACATAGAAACTCTTGTCCGCCATGCCGCAAAAATCTTTCAATTCATCTAGAGAGCAATCATACTGGTCGAAATCCAATTCCTTTTCCCGAAGCAACCTTTGAAGGGCTCGCCACATGGAGTCATACAGCGTTTCTTCCCTAACCAAAAACTGAGGAATGGTTTCCTGTGGCTTCCTGCCTGTAGTAGGCGGACAACTGCCGCCCAGCATCCGGAATTGGCTGCCGGTTCATTGGCGAAGCCTCCAAAAATGATATCAGACGAGTCACAGCATCTTCGGTGGTGAAGTCCGCTGGGTCCAGTTTGTAGGCCAAGGACTTGAGGGAAGGATAATCGCTCTCCAAGATGCGACGAACTAATCTTGCTGCTGCATACGGTCTTTCTGAGGATTTCGTTCCAGCTAAATGCCATTTGATCTCTGTGATGTAATGAAAAAAGGTTTCAGGTCGGCCACCCCAACTAGGAACCCTGTTGAAGGAGGATCCCTGACCAACATCTTTGGACATCTCTCTGAGAAGCCTCGAGGGGACAAACCAAAAAGGAAAAACTGGCCCTGAACGTACAAGGCTCCGCGGCACCAATGTGTCAAACCGCCAAGTTGCGTAGATTGCGAACGTCGTGCGAAAGCGGAAAGACGAGATCAAACAAGGAGGATCAAAACATGGCTTAGGCGGTCCGTGCCACCCTTTTAACACTCCGTCTAAGTCTGAGCTCAAGAGGCGCGCCTGCGGACGAGAACATGAGTACCCCGCACCTGTGGTTCCGTAGACCACTGAGATGTGCTAAGGTTGGTAAAATCGGGCTTCACACAATTCATGAAACATAATATATAGGACCACATTGACCCCTGAATAAACCACCCCAAAGTATGTAAATATGCAAGTCCCATGGAGTGTCTGGGCATGGGCCATGTTTTCAGGATGTGATTTCAATTTCCATTGATTTTTATGCTTTGTTTTGGCGAGCTTGGCCCAGAATTCATCCTAGGGGTCATTCAGCAGCCTCGATCCCTCTAGACTATTTTTGAGTACTTTGGTCTTTGCAAGAAGCGATGACCTACGAATCAACCAGTGGTAACTGAATCCGGATGGTGACCTGCGAGCTTTCTGAAGGGGAATTCGCAAGTGCACCGAGCGTCACTGCATGTCACTGCGTCACCTTCAACGAGTGACCAACACTTCCGGTCCAAAACCCACGGTGGTGCGATGAGGATGGTCGATCCCTGGCAGTGAGGGTAGGAGATCACCAGGAACCGTGTGAAGACGCGCCAGGATCGGACCGGGAATCCTTGTTTCGAGGTGACAAACACTTGAGAAGATGCATCTGAACGACCCTGGTTTTAGACTCCGTAGAGTCTCATCAAATTGGGAGGATCTTCTTTTCTGTCTTTACCGCCGTCTTAGAACTACAGTAATATAATATATCTTTCAGTGGATGGAACATAACATGGTGACATTAAGCTCAAAAGCTCACTTGTCAAGACTTGTACGACACTAGATCGAACCTTCTCCCGCTTCTCTATCACCTTCGATCGATCCCCATCTCGCATTTTCTTTTTCCCGAGCTCTCTCTCCGGCGAGCGCAGACCGCGCGCGTGGTGAAGAAGACTTGGGTTCTAAGGATCCAAAAGATTGTGGAGCGTGCCTTGGGAAAGAAACTACATACCCTCTGGCAGCAGAAGCGATGGGATTTGCAGCTCGGACCCGCTCGGTATACGAAGCGATTCGCTGGGAAGCTGGTACAATGGACCGAAGCTGGGAAGGATGGGCCAGTTTCAGTTCACAACATCTCACGGATAGGGGAAGTGACTGGAAAAGTGGATCCAATGTGAGGAAGTTGCAATCCCACAAGTTCCATCAAGTTGTCCGCTGATTGAAACTTCGGGGTGCCCACTCACTGGCTGGGTCAAAGACTGGAGTTGGTCATACAAAAACATTGCTCAATAAGGTGAAAGGCCAGGTTCTACTAGGTCTTCGGACCTGTAGTTCTCCACCTGCCAGGTGGTACTCCTTCCGACTTGCTCCGGCGAGATAAATAAGCCAGGTGGTTTGCCAAGGATGCCCGAAGCTATGCAGAAGGTATGCCAGAAAGGATGCCAGAAGATATGCCAGAAAGGATGTCAGAGGATATGCCAGCTAGATTGTCGATATAGTTGCCATGTCGAATGCCTAGAGCATATGTCAGAGCAAGTCCCAGGTTTGATGGCAGAACAAATGTTGGAATACATGGCAGCACACATGTCAGAACACATATCAAATCCGAAGTCAAACCATATGTCACAGCAGATGTCAGGACAAGTGTCAGAACACATGCCATCAAGGACGTCAGAACACAGCCCAGAATGATTCCCAGCCTCTTTGATAGTTGTGTCAGTGCACATACCAGGCTTGATGCCAGAACAAGTGTCATAACATTGTGTCAATGCACATGTCAGCCTGCGTTTGTCAGGATTGTTTGTCAGTACACGTGCCCTGCCTTCTTCCCAAGGGCCTCGAAGGGTGGGGATCGCCGTAAAGCAATTTTTTCTCTTAACTCTAACCAAGCACTTGTCCACAAACTGGCTATGCGCGACTGGGCTTGGATTCCGTACCTTCAAACGAAGCAATCCACTTGTCTCCAAGTGGTCATGCAAAGGACTTCTTTACTAAGTACTTTCCCCCTAATAATTAGAAACATATACATAGGATCATATACGACGCATACTTAAATAGAAACGACTTCTGGTTCACATTTTTGGGGTTACCAAAGCATGCCTGTATGGTGTTGCTTGGATACCATGGATGGTCCACCAGACTATCCACCAGCTCGGGCGAAGACTGACTCTTCGTGTTCCATACGCACTGCAACGCGGTGGGCCGTCAGATATACTGATGGAAAGTGTTTTTCCGATATCTACTGAAAACCTTATTTAATTATATTATAGGACCGGATAACCCCACATGTGAACAACTTCGAAAGATTGAGGCTGCAGGGGTAAAGTGCGGAAGAGTGAGCATGGGGAAGAGACAGGCGAAACAGACATAAGGCGTGAGGGTCTCTGTGTGTACATGAGGTGTGTGTGTGTGTGTGTGTTTGTGTGTATGCGCTTGTTCGTCAGTGTGTATCAGTGGGTGGGTGGATGTATGCTGCTTGGGGCTTGTACTAAAGTTGTACTAGAAAGTTGCCAGTTCTCATCTTCCAGCTCCCCAGATACTCCGCGTACTAAAGTTGTACTACAAAGTCGCCAGTTCTCAGCTTCCAGCTCCACAGATTGCTCCGCGTACTAAAGTTGTACTACAAAGTCGCCAGTTCTCATCTTCCAGCTTCGCAGATACTCCGCGTACTAAAGTTGCACTACAAAGTCGCCAGTTCTCATCTTCAAGCTCCGCAGATACTCCGCGTACTAAAGTTGTACTACAAAGTCGCCAGTTCTCATCTTCCAGCTCCGCAGATACTCCGCGTACTAAAGTTGTACTACAAAGTCGCCAGTTCACAAAGCGCTGCGCCTGCCACGAAATCTGCACATAGAGGTTCACACAGTGCTGCGCCTGCCCCGAAATCTGCACATGGAGGTTCACACAGTGCTGTGCCTGCCACGAAATCTGCACATGGAGGTTCACAAAGTGCTGTGCCTGCCACGAGATCTGCACATGAAGGTTCACAAAGTGCTGCGCCTGCCACGAAATCTGCACATCCAGCGCCGGTGCCCAGCCGACGCCAGGGCGTACATCCGACCCCTTGGCAAGCAGCAAAGTGCTGTGCCTGCCACGAGATGAGCTGCGCCTGTGAGTGTGAGAGATGTTGTGTGTGTGTGCTGTGGTGTGTGAGACGTTGTGTGTGAGATGTTGTTGTGAGAGATGTTGTGTGAGTGATGTTGTATGCAAGACGTTGTGTGTGGGATGTTGTCTGAGTGATGTTGTTGTGAGAGATGTTGTTGTGAGAGATGTTGTGTGAGAGAGGAGGAAGGAGGAAGGAGGAGGGGAAGGAGGAGGAGCGCGGACGGAGAACGAGCGGGGCGGTGTAGCAAAAAAAACAAGAACCCCACACAACAATGTGGGGAAAAAACTTAATGTGTTGAATATATGTTCCTTTAACATGTAAACCTGACATCTTCCAATCCTCGTCTTTAACTCTGAATGACTCTGCATGTTGAATCTCGAACTAGTACTTTCTCTTCTCAAATACAGAATCTTGGGTGGTTTTGCCTTTATATGTGTTTTTCAACGCAGGTTTCCTCACCCATCGTTGGAACTCAAGCGAGCCCGTCCGTCTCAGGTTCCGCTTCTACCGAGCCAGCCGCTTGGGTGAAGAGGATCGATCCAAGTGATGGGGTGGCCATGGGGCGTCCAGGCAACCAGTGCGATGTTCAAATTTTAAGCCAAAGACGCGATGGGACATGGAATACATATAGACATAGAGGTCGTGTCCCATCACCATGAACAGTTTGAAAACAGTATTCATGTTTTTTTGGCAGAGGCTCTTAGTAACCATCATCATCATCATCATCATCATCATCCACTGCTACTGGTACTGAGATATCCCAAATTATACACGGACCCCTGAAATCGACCACCCCTAACTGATCTGTCAATATGCCAGTCCCATGGAGTGTCTGGGTATGTTTGGGTGATGTTTGAAATTTGCCAATCTCTTCAGATCGAGTACCAAACAAAGCTTGGGAGACCGCCGCCCGGCGAGCCATTGCCACCCGCCTGTGGGCGAGTTTTCAGGGTAGACCTCGGCTCAGCCTGCGACCTATGGACCGAAACAAAGGCAGTTGGAAATGAGGTGATCGGCCCAGCGACCACACTTTCTTTCAAGTTCCAATCAATGCTTTTAGTAGCGTCCTTGCTCCTAGCAGCGATGCCAGGAGCCCCTAGTAGCTTCTTGCTCCTAGTAGTAAGGCCAGGAGCCCTGATCGTAGCGTCCTTGCTCCTAAGGTTGCCGGATGTTTTTTTTTTCCACATGTTGCCCTGTTTCAGTTTCTGGTCCGCTGGT